TTGGAAGAGTCCTTGAAGATCATAGAAGGTAGAAGGACAAAATGGTTGGGTTGGATGGGTCCTTATAGATAACAGAGCCATAGAGTGGTCGAGTTGGAAGGGACCTTACAGACTACAGAACCACAGGACGGTTGGGTTGGAAGGAACCCCAAAGCCCCCAGCCAGTGCTCTGGTCTTACACCCAAGGCCCTCAGAGGTGACTCCTACAGCAAGGCAAGTTGCAGCCACTGTTCCAGGACAGCTTCTGGCCACCTCCTCCCCAGACACCACCAGCCCATGCAGACGGAGGGTGTGGTGCATGCACGATCCTTACCCAGGGGGTCTGTGGGAGTGCCTTTGAAGATGATGCGGTACGTGGTGAGGAAGATGGCTCCTTCCGCAGGGAGAAGAGGTGGACCACCAATATTCCCCCCGGCGGCCTCCTCCCTCCCGTCGGGCATGAGGTACACACGCAGCCCCTCCATCACACACTCCTCACCCACCAACAGGTTGGGGCGCAGCAGCTTTGGCTACAGGGGTGTAAAACGAGGAGTTTAGGTTTCTGAAGACTGGTAGAACAGCACCAGAACGTTCCCCCGAAGCGTCGCACGTCAGGTCAGTACCTTCTGGATGGGAGGAAGCCTCTTGCTCTCCCTGTGCACAGCATCCAGTGTCTCTATGTGCATCTGCACGATATCTGTGGACAAACACGCAGTCAGAGACCATGAGCTGTCCCACAGATCACCCAGGCTCCACCTCTTGGCATCCCCACTGCCTCTTCCAGAGCCCCTCCTGTACAGCCCCCGCAGCTGATGGGGACCCCCGGTGGAACCACGCGGCCACCCAGCCCCAGCACTGCTGCAGGGCCCATTACCAGGGATCATGACGTGCAGCCCCTTCAGGTGCTCGTTGGTGACTCCGCTCTCAGTGCACACTTTGTCCACGAAGCGGTTGATGAACCGCACCACGTAGTTGGCCACATCCGAGCTTTCAGCATCCTCAAATCCACTTTCCGTGTCGTAGCTCTCGGCCACGCTGCCAGCGATGCTGCCGTGCAGGAGAGAGCAGTTAGCTCAGAGTGCTCCTCTCCGTTGCCATAACCCAGAGCAGGAGGGCCCTGCCTACGCAGGAGAGCCCAGGGGAGACCCCTCCCTTGAGATGAACCCAAACCCAAAGGAGCTTCCACTCCTGCCCTGGGCAGTGCAACTTTCACCGATTCCAACTCGAAGCCAAATAATCTGGATGCTCCAAGGAGCCCCGAGTCCCCAGATTGGGCTGCTCCGCTCCCCCTGCAGTCCTCCAGCCCTCCTGACCTGTTGGTGACAAAGCTGTTGCTGACGCTCTCCACATCCCCCAGCCCGGAGCTGCGCAGCAGGCGGTTCTTGCTGGTGTCCAGAGGCAGCAGCAGGTAGCTCATGCGGTTGGCATAGTGGATGGCCTGGCTGAAAACTGTGCTCTCCTCCTTTTGGATCAGTTCCTGCTGCTTCTCTCGGCTCATGGTGGGCCACAGCCTCAGCTGCTCTGATGCTATCTCAAGGGCAGACCTGGCTTCTTGGGGTTCCTCCGCGCCCTCCTGAAGGAGATGGAACGAATGTCAGAGGTCTGCATGGACAGGAGAGCTGCTGGCCTTCACAGGGCTCTCCCAGTGCCAGGATGCAGTCCCTTGGGCTGCTTCCAGCACCCCACCCATCCCACGGACATCAAGGGAGAGCTGCCCCCACGCAGCTGCTCTGCAGGAACCCAGCTGCCCCCACTCACCTCATCTGTGTGGTTCTCCTCACTGCTGTCCAGGTACAAGGCTCGGATGTGGTTCTGCACATCACTGTAGAACATAGCTTCCCAGAACTGGATGTTGGTCCACACCACGTGCTCCTGCACACAGCTGTAGGCAAACTGCGTGATGCCTGGGCTCAGTTTCTGAGGAAGCAGAAGAGGGACAGAAGAGTTTTATCTGAACGCAGTCCTTGTGCCAGCCTCTCCTCTCCAGATCATTCTTGCTCTCTCCTGCTGCCAGGAAAGGCAGCACACCCTTGGACACGCAGGAGGGACACCAGCACCACAGTTCCTCCAAGGAGTCCTTGCAAACACTTCTCAGGTTTGCTCAGCACCTACCCTGAGGGCCCAGGAGAGCCTCATGCTACAGATGCTTTCTAGAAGGCAGAATCTTATCAAGCATTACAATGTGCTGCTCGGGGCTGTGGTGGAGTCCCCATCCCTGCAGACATTTAAGGGACGTGCAGACACAGCACTAAGGGACGCTGTTTTGTGATGGGACTTGGTAGGTCAGCTCAGTGGTTGGATTTGATAATACAGAAGGGTTTTTCTAACCTAGATAACTGTAATCTCAGCCCAGCCTGACGGATACATGAGTGCATCCCCAGTCCTAAGCAGCTTTTCCCCAGGTGTTTCAGCTCAGCCAAGCTTGTGCATGGCTGAAAGATACTGGGCAGAATTTCATGCCCCAAGAAGCATCGAGGGGACAATCTGCCCCTAACCCAGTCTCTGCAGCCTCCAAGGAGTTCTGAGGCTGTGAGGGCCACACCAGACACCAGGACACTGCAGATACTCACTCGACAGAAAGCGGTGACCAGCGGCAGGAGCGCGGCTGCAATCCCATGCTCATCCATGGCCGTGCAGTCCTGGGGAAAAGAGCAGAGCTTACAGGAGGATCCACTTCAGGATGGCCAGGTCTGCTCCCACTCCCACCCCACAATTTCTCCCACACTGGGTGATGCTCTCCTTCCCTACCTGCAAGCAGCAGTTCATCATACGGACGATGAAGTCGAACTGCTGGTGGTCCAGCACGGCACGGTTCTGCTGCACGTGCAGATTCAGCTCCTGGGTCAGGCAATGCCGGGCCGCTCGGCCTTTCATGGCACGCAGCACAGCAGGGAACAACTGCAGGGAAAGATGGGGAGCAGATGAGCTCCTGAAGTCAGAGTCAGCCCACAGGGAGAGGTGCAGGAGGGGCACCTCGCCCTGGCTGTGTTGGCTGACACTGTGCTGTCACACATGGATCAAAGCAGCGTGATAAACAGCATCTGGGCAGCTGTAGCACAGCCCCAGAGCTCCAGGGTCAGCCACCTCCACAGGATAGACCCTGCAGTGGGGTGAGCAGCCAGGAACCCAGGGACACAAGAAGGAGGAACAGTGCTCAGAGGACAAGTGAGCACGGAAACAGAGCTGCCCGGCAGAGGTCTGGATACAAGCAAGGAATGCCATGGAGGAGAAGCATTCTTCTGCCCGCTTCTCGGGAGCCCTCCTCACCTTTTTGGCTTCTAACATCTTGTTCTCAAAGACATAGGAGATGCAGTTCCGAACCACCTCCAGGCGGCGGGCGCTGTTGGCCAAGGCGTTGCCATTTCGCTCCATGATGGCTGCTGGAGAGAGAAGCGATGCGGTTCAGGCAGGGCAGGGTCGCAGCCCAGGGAGTGGAAGAATGGGTGTCCCAATGCTCCACACAGGCAGTGCTGTGGGAGGACGCTGAAGGGATTTCAGCAGTCCTCTCATGCTGGTTGGTGGAGCTGAGGGACCTCTGAGCAGCCAGAAGGGGAGAGGCTAACGGGGACAGTGATGTTGAGATGATGGCACTACCCTAAAGTACAAGGGCAAGAATAGAGTCCTGCACCTGGGGAGGAACAACTACAGCATCGGGACGGATTGGGGCTGAGCCACTGCAAAAGGGCTCTGTAGAGAAGAACCTGGGGGTCCAACAGGCTGACCAACGACTGACCACACGCTGATCATGAGCCAGCAGTATGCCTTGGTGGCTCAGAAGGCCAACACGTGGCACAGAAGATGGCCAGCAGGGCAGGGAGGTGCTCCTGCCTTCTGCTCTCCACTGGGGGGCACATCTGCAGCACTGCACCCAGTGAGGAACTCCCCAGTTCCAGGCAGACTGGGAAGAGAGAGAGCCCAGCTCAGGGTGCAGAGATGATGGGGGTCTGGAGCAGCTCCTGCTGGGGACAGGCTGAGAGCCTTGGGGCTGTGAGCATGGAGGAGAGAAGTACGAGGTGGGTCTGAGCACACGTACCAATGGGGGGGGCCTGAAGGAACCATGCACTTCTTCTCTGCTTTCACAGCTGGAGGAGCTGTCTGTAGCTTGGCTGTGGCCTGATCGATGATCCACTGCACTGTGCCCTCATCCAAACGTGGGAAGGGCTTCTGGTGCAGGCGCAGATGACAGCCTTCCGTGGGCTTCTGCACTTTGTGCATGGTCACGGCGGGGTATGGGTTCTCCTGGCACAGCAAACAGAGTTTCTTTTCAGCCACGAGGAAGTCGTGCATCATCCCGCAGGCTCGCAGGGGCATCTCTCAGCAGCCTGTGTTCCTTTCCTCTCCCAGCAGCACTTTGCAGCCTCCAGAACCTAGCAGTGCTGAGGGCAGGCTGTCAGCTCACAGTACCATCATACTCTGCTCTCAGGAGCCGCAGGGACAGCACGCTGAGCACACAGCAAAGAGCAAAAAGCACTCAGGAGCTCAGGGCTGGGATGGCTAAAGGCATCTTAGGCCAGTCAGCACGGGCAGCAGCTGCTCCAGAACAAGGGGAAGGAAGTGCCTAATGCCCAGACCACCAAAAACAGGAATACCTCCACTCAGGAAGCGAGGGAGAGGCTGAGGCCAGGCAGACACCCTGGGGTCCAGCAGCAGTTTCCATAACAGTGTTTCCAGCACCAGTTACAGTAACATGAGTGGAGGAAGGACAGATGGACATGGGCTCTCAGCCAGGTTCTCCCAACCCTCCCGTCAGAGCAGGTTCCCCTCCTGCACTCACATTTTTGTAAAGTTTCTCTGCCAGCTCCTTAATGTGCCGCAATATTTTCTGCTTGTTCCCCTCTTCTGCACGCATGCGCTTCACTTCATAAGCAACAAGCTGGAAGAAGAGATGGGTGAGAGGAGCAGCTGCCTGCTGGGCAGGATCCAGCATCCTACGATTCCCTGGCTCCATCCCCAGCAGCCTCCATCCCCAGTAGCCTCCACCCCCATCCCCAGCAGCCTCCATCCCCAGCAGTCTCCATCCTTCATCCTCAGCAGCCCCCATCCCCAGCAGCCTCCATCCCTCATCCCCAGCAGCCTCCATTCTTCACCCTCAGCAGCCCCCATCCCCCATCCTCGGCAGCCTTCATCCCCAGCAGCCTCCATCCTTCATCCTCAGCAGCCCCCATCCCCCATCCTCGGCAGCCTCCATCCCCAGCAGCCTCCATCCTTCATCCTCAGTCGCCTCCATCCCCAGCAGCCTTCATCCCCAGCAGCCCCCATCCCCCATCCCCAACAGCCCCCATCCCCAATCCCCAGCAGCCTCCATCCTCCATCTCCAGCAGCCTCCATCCCCAGCAGCCTCCACCCCCCATCCCCAGCAGCCCCCATTCACCATCCTCAGCAGCCCCCAACCCCAGAGGAGCGCTCACCTCATCGAAGAGGTCGATGGAGCGGTACGGAGCTCCCCTCTCTGTCACAAAGCCAGCAAAGGCCATGCCCTCCAGCACCTTGGTAAGGAAGTCATCTTCCGTCAGCCCCCTCTGCCCCAGGAAGGCTGCCTGCAAGAGGGAAGCGTGGTACCATCAGGACAGGAGCTGATGCCATGGCCACGCTGAGCTTGCATCCCTCTGCTCCCGTTGCCTTCTGCTGAGTTAGATTTCCTCCACAGAACCCCAACACCTCCCATGTTTTGCTCCTCTCCTGCCTTGGCTTTGCCAACAGCCCCAAGGCGCTGCTGTTTCCTCTCCCCGGGTCTTGCTTCCTGTCTCCAGGCATGGGGAAAAGCCGTGTCTCAGCCCAGGAGGCACACAGCCCCAGCTGCACTGTGCTCGGGCATAAACAGGGAAATGGCATCTGACCCACATACGACCTTGGGACACTCAAGGACAAACAAGGGATGCAGGTGGAGCTGGCAGTGGTGCAGAAATCACCTGCTGGAAGCACAGGACTTCACTTGCAGACACAGCTATATTTATGCGACCCTTTCCACGCATTCTCTCTCCCTGACCTCAGTGCAAACCCACTTCCAAAAGAGTCATCCCACGGCCACGCAGGGCAGTGTGAAGAGCTGTTCTATGGTGTGGCCACGAGGCCCTGGAGCAGAGAAGCTGCTCCATGCTGGCCTCCTCCTCCCAGCACCAATGCTGGGAGCAGGGCCAGGCCCATGCCCACATCCAGGCCGTACCTTGTGGAAGCGGATGACGGGCTCAGGATGGATGCGGATGATGTGCAGACACCAACGGTAGCCCTGCAGCAGCTGTGCAAACAAGCGGAGGAAGACAGCCCGGATCTCCTTGTCCTGTGCAAAGGGACGGACAGTGCAGTCAGGAGGACAAAGGGACCACGGGGCAAAGGGATCACATTCACGTGTCAGCATCAGCCTCTGCTGAACAGGGCAGGAAACTCAGGGACCTTCTAAAGAACAGAGGAGGTGGGAGATAGATCTCCAGTGCTCTCCCCTTGCCAGCATCTCTGAGACCACATGCATGCAGGAAGGAGCTCTTGTAGCCCTGCAAGGAGCTCTTGTAGCCCTGCGGCCACTTGTGAAGCTCCCATCCCAGAGCAGGGTGCTGGATGCCTGGCAGAGATGGCAGCCTTGTGCCTGGGCTCTCTGCTTCTCGAGGCCCTGTGTGCGGCCCCATTTCACCCACCTGCATTTTGAGAGATGAAGCAGAAATCGTAGAAGGGGGGAATGCCAGATCTGCCACCTCCAGCTCTGGGTCCAAGACCTGCAGAAAGGCACAAGGCACATTCAGGCCCTGGGGATCTGTGCTCACACGAAGCTGCATTCCCCAGAAGCTCAGCAGGACCCACAGGTGTGTTCTTAGGGACCCATGGACAGACTTGAAGCAATCGGTAGCTATGGGAAAGGCTTCTGCCATGCCAGGGGCTGCCCACAGCCAGGCAGAGTGTGCTGAGGCCCTGACACAGCCTGCCCTGAGAGCAGCACGGATGCCCCATCCCAGCAGGTGCAAAGGATGGGGCCTTGAGCAGCCTGAGCTGGTGGGGGGCACCCAGACCATGGCAGAACTGGGGCTTTGCAGTCCCTTCCCACACTACCATTCTACAATTCTATGACTCTGATTCTCTCCAGCTGCTGTTTGGCTGCACTGTCCCAGCACCCGCTCTGCAGGGCCAGCAGGCTGGGAATGCTCTCACTGCCAGCAAATCAACATCAAGGCTGCAGCTGTTTCCTGCCCTGATTCCCAGAAACCTTTGGCAGATGAACCCTACAGCAGAACCATGCACCAGAGGCCACCATGGCTAACAGGATGACCATGAGGCAGCACTGTGCCCTGGTGGCCAGGGAGGCCAATGGCATTGTGGTCGATCAACAGTTGACCAACGGTTGACCAAAAGCTGACCAGGAACCAGCAGTGTGCCTTGGTGGCCAAGAAGGACAACGGGACCCTGGAATGCATTACAAAGAGGTGCTTTAAAGTTGCTCTGTGGAGGACTTGGGTGTCCAACAGTTGACCAATGGTTGACCACACACTGACCATGAGCCAGCAGTGTGCTTTGGTGGCCAGGATAGACAATGGGAGCCCAGGGTGCATTGCATAGAGCATGGCCAACAGGACAGGGAGCTCCTCCCTTCTGCTCTGCCCTGGGGAGGGCACAGCTGCAGCACATCCAGTGCTGAGCTTCCCAGTTCAACACAGGAACTGCTGGGAGAGCCCAGCTGTGGCACTTACCATGGAGAGGGCTTCACGGGTCTGCTGAAGGAGAGGCTCAGGGAGCAGGGAGATGTGCACACACTCAGGGACATTCACTGTGCCCCCATCCAGGTCGGCGATAACAACATCCAGCTGAAAGGGGCGAGACAGGAGTGAGACAGTGCCAAGCCACAGCCCACCACCTCCTGCTGGTAATGGTGAGCTAACAGAGAAACAACCCAGCCAAAGAGAGGGGATGTGGGGAACAACAATCTGTCTCCTCTCTGCCCACTGCAAGCTCAAGCATTCCAGCCCTCAGCAGCTATTTTCTCTTGTCTATTAAATATGCAAACACTTGTGATACATGAACTGTAAGGGGTTCCCATCACTGCCTGCTGTGGAGACCACAAGCTGGGTGAGCTCTCACAGGGAACACACTGACATCAGCCCCAGCACAGACTCCTTCCCGCTTCACCAGAATGGCGCTGTTCAGTTTGCTCAGAAGGTTGCACAAAAGCTTGTTTCAGTTGAGATCAGGCTCATTACGCTTTCATTTCATTCAGTTTCTACACTGAAGTCTGTCAGGCTGAAGTGCCAGCACAGCTTCTTGGACCAGCGCTGCCAGCTGAGCTTCAAAATCAAATCCTCAGTTAACCCAGCTGCTGTGGCACGGAACGGAGACCTGACCCAGGCAGAGCAGCCCCAGCCAGCGTGGAGCACAGCCTGAGCTGGCAGCCAGCACAGCACCATGAGCATGAGCTGAGAGCTCAGCTGCTGCCTGAAGCAGGGCTTGGGATGTGGCTGCTCACATCAGGACGTGTTGGGGGCTGAGCTGCTGCAAAGGAGCTGTGCAGGGAAAGACCTGGGGATCCTGGTGGACAGCAAGGCTGACCATGAGCCAGCAGTGTGCCCTGGTGGCCCAGAGGGCCAATGGGACCCTTGGCTGCTCTGCACAGAGTGTGGCCAGCAGGGCAGGGAGGTGCTCCTGCCCTCTGTTCTGCACTGGGGGGCACAGCTGCAGCACTGTGTCCAGTATGGGGCTCCCCAGTTGCAGGCAGGCTGGGAACTGCTGATAGAGCCCAGCTGAGGGTGCAGAGATGGGAGAAGCCTGGAGCAGCTCCTGCTGGGGACAGGCTGAGAGTCCCAGGGCTGTGCACATGGAGGAGAGAAGGCTGAGGGGGTCTGAGCAGAGCTGGTGGATATCTGAAGGGTTGGAGGTGAGGAGGAAGGGGCTGGGCTGTGTTTGGTGGTGCCCAGCACCAGGACAAGGGGCAGCGGGCGCAGACTGGAGCCCAGGGAGTTGTGTGTGAGTGTGAGGAAGAGCTGTGTGCTGTGAGGGTGGCAGAGCCCTGGCACAGCTGCCCAGACAGGTAAGGGAGTCTCCTTCTGTGCAGAGATCCAAACCTGCCTGGACACCGCGTACAGCTGCTGGGGCGAGCTGCATGGGGGCACTGCACTGGGGGAGCTGCACACCCCCATGGCTCTGAGTTCTGTGGTCCCACTGCTTCCCTTGCTGCCAGCTCATGGGGTCTCACCAGCTCCTGTGTCTCCGACTGGAAGATGGAGTGGACCCCGATAATGAAGGGTGTCGGCGTGCTCAGTACCTCCAGGAGCTGTGCAGGCAGGATGGGTACGTACGTGAAACTGCAACAAGAGATGAGCGTTGCTGCAGCCAGCTGAGCCCTGCCAGGACCTAGCATCTGCTCCCTGCCCTCCTGGGGGAGCACAGCCCAACAGCACGCCCTCAGCGCTCTCCTGCTCACCAACACTCTTCCATCCCAACCACTCTGTCATTCCACGGTTCTGTGATCTTTAAGGATCCTTCCAGCCCAACCATCCAGTAGCTCTATGATCTATAAGGTCCCTTCCAACCCACCCACTCCGTGGCTCAATGATGCACTGGCACACAGAAAAGGCTCCAGGGAAGGAGCTCTGAGAGCCACGCACATCCTTTACAGCCCACCCTGCACCAGCAATGTGTACAGCACAAATAATTACTGCCCAGGTAATTATGGAGAAAGGGGTGTTAGGTAGCCCAGGTAGTGCCCCAGCTCAGTCTGAGGCTTGAAGCTCCTCTCTCACCTGTACTTAAGGGGGAACATAAGTGCAAGGAGAGCCCGGCAGGCATCGGTGAGCCGCTGGTAGCTGCTGGAGAGAAACAGGATCTTGTGCTCAGTGAGCGCTGCACAGAAGAGATACAGCACATTGGTGATGCCTGGGGAGAAGGGAGAGAGCAGTGCTCAGAAAGAGGGTTCCCCTCCTGTGCTCCAGGACAGATCCTCACAACCTGTTCCTCATCTCCACATCCTGCACAACAGAGGAGCTGACACCCTCCAGGGGGGCACCTGTGGTGCCCATCCCTTGGAAAGGCACTTGGAGGCCTGAAGGAGCTGATATGCAGGAGGAAGGCAGCTCTGTACAGAGACAGCGATGGGACACGGGGGAATGGCTTTAAACTGGAAGAGGGGAAATGGGGTCAGATATGGGGGAAATGTTTCACCCAGAGGTGATGCAGCCCTGGTGCTGCTGCCCAGAGCTGTGGGTGCCCCATCGCTGGAGGTGCCCAGGGCTTTGGATGGGGCCCTGAGCAGCCTGAGCTTGGAGGAGGGGGATCCAGCCCAGGGCAGGGGTAGAGCTGAGAGGTCCCTTCCAACCCAACCATTTCATGGCTCAGTGATCTATAAGGTCCCTTCCAATCCAATGATGACCCCATGATCTGTAAGGACCTTTTCAACCCAGCTGCTCTATGGCTCTATGATCTACAAGGTCCCTTCCATCCCAGGCCGTGCTGTGATTCAGTGATTCTCTGCCTCTGCACACTGCTTGCACACTGCTGCCCCTTGCAGGAGGGCAGAGCCAGGGTAGCTCTCTCCAATGCTGTGCAATTGGAGCTGAGCCCTGGGCTGCTTTTGGCACTGGACCCACTGGCAAGGAGGTGTGGGGAAAAGTCTCACCGAGCTGCCGGAAGAGCAGAGCCACACTGCAGCTGCTGACGGGAAGCGAGTCATTGATGGGTGTCTGGATCACCTGCCTGTCCCCTGCCCCCAGCGAGATCGTCCGCTGCAAGAAAATGCAGGAGGTGATGGGGTGGCATTCAGCAAGGGGCCAGCATGAGGACCCAGGACCACAGTGCCCAAGAAACAGCTCCGTGCCCCCCAGGACAGGGCTGGAGCACAGCAGGCACAGCCTCATCTCTTCTTCTCCTGGGCAGTTTTTCTCCAAACCACAGCACTGGGATGCCTGCAGGTCCTCGGCCTCTCTCCAGAGGCACGAGGGCAGCGTCACATCAATGAGCACTTCTCCAGGGCTGTGCTGCTCTGCAGTAGGTTTGGCCATGTGCCCCATCTCCCCGCTCAGCCCTGTGGGCTCAGGGGGCTGCTCCCAATAAAGGCTTCTGGCCGGGCAGAGCCAGCACCCTGAGCTGCACCCGAGCAGCAAGCCGAGCCTCCTAACCATGGGGAAGCAATGCCATGGGGCAGGAACCAGCCCCGTGGATGTGGCAGCACCAGAGCTGCTTGCACGACCCTTCCACAGGAAGAAGAGAAGGGGCTAACGAGGACACAGACCCCAGAAAGAAAAGGTGTGCGTACCGCTGCTTCGTCGTCCGCGTCAGGCTGAGATAGAGACAGACAAAGATAGCACAGTCGGTTAGAAAGGCACAAACACAGCTGGATGAGGGGGGACAGAGGCACAAAGCGGGGAGCAGAGCTCTCAGAGGAGGAGAGGTGCACACAGACAAAGCAAAGCAGCCACCACCACACTGAGAAAGAGCGTTTGGACACAGCGGGGGCAGAGGGAAAGCACAGGGAGGGGAGCGCCACCAACACACCGTCCTCCCCGCAGCGTGCTGTGTGTCCCCGTGGCACAGATGGATCCTGCCAGAACGGGAAGGTGACAAATGGCAGTGGCCAAAGCACAGCTCACTGCCTTCTTCCTGCTGTGTGCGGGCTCCAGCTGGGAGGAACCAGATGGGGTGGGATGTTGTTGGGTGCCCGCACCCAGCCAGGCATGGCCATGGGCTCAGCTGTGGCTCGCCTGCTTCTCCAGAGCACCAGGTGTGACTGGCAGCCAGCCCCAGGGCCAGCACTGCTCCAGGGGCACGAGGTCAGCCTGAGAGCATAGCCTGTGCCCGGCACAAAACACCCAAACCAACAGCCTGCATGGGGACAGGGAGCAAAAACCCCCTTGGGGTCACAGGGCTCGGCAGTGGGGAGAGCCTCTGCCTGCAGGCACAGAGCTGCAGTGCTGCCTTTGGCTGAGTGCAGGGACACATGCCACCTCTGCAGCTGCTTTCCAAGTGTTAGTGTGGCAGAACAACTCCAGAGGGGCTGTGCTGCTGTCTTCAAACATCTTCTGTGAGAGGGTCTGCCTGGGAGCTGCCCACCTCTCCCATCTCCATCACTCACCCACCTGCTGCCCTCCTGGAATGGGAGCACCTTCCACAGCAGAACCAGAAGCTACCAAACCTCATTTTGTGCCTTCTTTTCCAGGAGTCAGGTATGATATCTAAGTGGGAACTCATCTACTGTGCTGCTTTAATGTTTAATGCTCAGAAAGCTTGGGAAGTTTGGACAGAGGGGTGTGAAAAAGCATCAATGTCTTCAAGATGGGAGCTCGCTCAGTTCTGCTCCTCTGTTTCAGAACTACTTGAACAGTGGAACACATGCCACTGGTTCCAAGTGCTCTGAAGACACAGCCAATGTTTCATCCATTTACCCATGCCCCAGATGCCCTTCCTATTAAGTCTGTTCTCAAACCTTGGGACCACAGACATGCACAGCCTGTGCCTGTTGACCCAGAGCAATGTTCTGTGTGCTCAGATGGGCCCAAGAAGAGCAGCGGGAAACTCTCTGATGCAGGGAGACCACAGACCACAGCAGGGATTTGCACAGCATGAACTGATCTACGCAGCTCCTGGGGGGGTGGAGGGGGAAGGAACAAAGCTGCTGACCCACGGCGAGGTGCTCTCAGCTGCCCCAGAGGCTGAGCTGCTCCAGGTGATGGAGCTGCATTGTTCTGCTCTACAGCACTTGGAAAGGTGCTGCCTGCACAAGCCAGGCCCTGCCAGCAGCAGGGCATGCAGCAATCCCCCAGCAGCTGGTGCAGTGAGCTGCTGCCTGCAGGAGGGTCAGGCAGGCAGGAGCAGAACGCAGCCACGCAGCATGGCTCTGCCCCATGCCATGGGGCTGGGAACGAGGCAGTGCAGGGAGGCTGCGGGCACCCACCTGGGCTCCACCGGTGATGGGGATGGTGCATGTCAGCAGGTTCCCAATGACATTCTCCAGGGACACGTTCAGCCCGTCCACATAGATGGTGTAGATCAAGCCCAGGCTGTTCTGCAGAGGGAAGCACAGCGTGGCTGAGCGTCGCTGCGGGAGGCAGCCACCTCCTGGTCCCCAGTAGCACCACCCTGCCCAGTGCCTGTCCCCAAGAAGGAGCTCAGCCCATGGTTCTTGGCTGCAGTGCTTCAGGTCTTCCCTCCAACCTCTCCCCCTGAGCCCTTCCCAGCAGGGATGGGGTATACAGCACGCACTCTGCTTCCAGCCAGCAACACTGACCTTCCCTGCCATCCCCACCAGGTCACCATGAGCAGAGGGAGGTTCCTGGTCCCTGCACGTCTGCATCAGGTCCCACTCAAAGCCTCAAACATAGGGCATGAAGGAAGGAACCATTTCTCCCTGAGGGTTGGGCACTGATTCTTCTGCACTGGGAGCGAGCATCGGCACCAGCACAGGATGCATCACAGGGCAGTGTCCAGCAGCACGTCCTCTGCGCCATGGATTGGCTGCTGGAACCACCCCAGTCAATCAAGAATTTGAGCAATCTGTCTTCAAGGAATCCCTTTTTCTCTTCAAACCATCTCCCCACATCAGCAAGAAATCACAGAATCACACAACCATTTGAAGATTTGAAAAGACCCCTGAGAACACCCAGCTTGATCCCAGCCCACCTCCCATGTGCTCACTGACCCCAAGTGCCCCAAGCTGGTGAAGTCATATGGGCTGGGAACCACTGCCATGCAGAGAACAAACCTCTGCAGGAAATGTCTTTCTCTTGCAATAAACCAGATGACCCAATTTCAGCCAAAATCATCCCCAAGCACGAGCTGTTTTCCCCCACAGCAGCCTGGCTCACCTGGCTTTGCCCTCCAACCCCAAACTAGTTGTGCATGTCAGAGAATCTCAGCTTTGTGGAGGCAAACCCCAACCAGACGTGGCGATGCCACACAATGAACTGCTCACAACAAGGGAAATGGACTCACGATCCAAGATCTCTGCTGCTCACATGTTCCTCTGTCGGTCTCACTGATCTCACTTGCTGCTTTGTGACCCCCTATCAGCCAACATGGGCCCAACTCATCGTCAGACACCTCCCAGTAACCCCCACCGTCAGTACAAGCTGGGAGATGGAAGGAGCACTGCATCCAGATGGGGAATGCTCAGCACAGCAGAGACACCGACCTGGTGGCTTTCAGAGGGCCCTTCCAGCCCCAACCATTCTGTGACTCTACAAAGGTCCTCTCCAACTCAACCCATTCCATGATTCCATGAGTCTACAAAGGTCCCTTCCAAACCAAAACATTCCATGATTCTGCGATTCTACCTACACACAGCACTGTGTTATGGTTCAGTGCCAGAGCACTGGCACAGGCTGCCCAGAGGACAAGCAGCCTCCATCCCTGGAGGTCAGGTTGGGTATTGGGAACATTTCTTCCCCAAACACCAGTCAAGGACTGGTACAGACTGCCCAGGGCAGTGGAGGAGTCCCCATCCCTAGGGGCATTCAAGGAACGTGGGGATGTGGCACATGGGGATAGTGGGCACAGTGGGGGTGGGTTGGGGTTGGACTTGGTGATCTCAGAGCTCTTCTCCAACCTGAATGGTTCTGTAATTCTCTGATCTCTAACCCCCACCTGGAAGTGGTCCTTGGCACCCCTCTCCAGCTGCCCTGTGCCTGAGCTGGGGTGGGAGCAGCCGTCCCCATAGGATGTCCCTTTGGTGTTCTAGAAAGCCTGGAGTTTGCAGCTTTAGGCTGAAGATTGGAGCATCCTGTGAAGCCTGACATTTGTAACAGCTCTAGGCTGAAGAATGGGTGACATTATTCCCTGACAGTCCTTCTCAATCCCAGTGGTGGCTGAACATCCTGATGGAGCACCCCACGCTGGGGCAGGCTGAGAGCAAGAGCTCCAAGCAGCTGCCCAGAAGCAATACCCCACAGTGGGAGGGAAACAAGGAGAATGGGGAGAAGTGTGATGGAGCTCTCCTCCTCCACATGAGGTGCTCACCCAGCACCCAAGCTGGCAGCAAATCTTCTGTATGCCCCAGATGGACTCCTCCTTTGGATCCCTCGCACCACAAGCACAGGGCAAGGCAGCTGGTGCCACCTGCAAGCAGCACATGCCCTCCCAGACCTGTCACAGCCACATAACACAGTGAGCTGGGAGAAAACAAAGGTGGCAGAGATAAAGGTCCCCAAAGGAACGGGCTGTTCTTCACGGGTGTTGCATTCACAGAATTGGGTGGCTGTGCTGTTCTGCAATGCTGGGTGCGGAGTCGGCCCCGTGCTGAGCTTCCAGCTGCTCCCAGCGCTACCAGCTCCATGCTGGGGCTGCTCACTGCCTCTCCTTGCCCCACACACTTACCCTGAACACCTCAGCGTGGTCCAGCCTTGACACCAGCACCAGGCTCTTGGGAGCAAAGAGCTGTGCCGGTTGGACAGGAGAAGCCGATTCCTCTTCCTCCTCTTCTCCATTCCTGGGGTGGCTTTGAGGCTGTGGTGACACAGATATCAGCCCAAACTAAGGCACAGACACCCTTCCCAATCCTTCATCCCAGGTTCTTCCACCAAGGGGACACCCAGAGAAGCCCCCACCCCTTCCCCAGCCCCACACCCGCTGTACCTGCGCGCTCTCCACAGCCTCCCAGAAGGTGAAGCAGGCGCAGTAGTGCCTCTCTGAGTTGATGTCGGTCAGCACGGCCACGAAGAAGGTGGGGGGGTTCCTCTCTGTGAAGAGCTGCCAACCGCTGGGCTGGCAGAACTGCGAGACAGGGCAGGGGATGGGGGTCAGCACTGTGGGCTGCACATCGCCCCATGCCCTTCCTTTGCTGCAGGAAGAGTAGGGCTGAGGCTAAAGCATCGGTATGTTAGCAACTTTATTTCTCTTAAATCCAAACACAGCCCCACGTTAACCTCAGGGAGTAGAGTTAATCCAGCCCAAAGCAGGGCACGATGCTCCGGGAGGTGGCACTCCTCGCATTGCCAACGCAGCCCCGCAGTGCTTCACTGCTTCCTGGGGACTTCCCGAGTAATTCCAGCCCCAGAACTCCTCACGTGGTTTCCAAATCTCAAGGGATTTTCCTGCCCTTCCCCTTCTCAGCATCTGCATTGGGTTGGTGAGCGCTGGAAAATTCCCTGATGTTCTCAGGGCTCCACGGAAAGAGCAGAAAAACTCAGCGGTTTCTGAGCGCAGGGCGACAGAAGGGAGGTTGAAAACAGGGCAGCGGGGACAGGATGACCCCAACGTCAGCTCCAGCCCTCAGTGAGTGAAGCAGTTTCTAAGCTACTGTAGTTCTGCAACCTTTGCCTGCTCTCCATTCCCCCACATCACACTCCATGTGCTCCAGGACATACATCCAGCTCCACTCCAACATAACAGGGCAGCCCCACTGCCACAAACCTTTAGTGCTGCATGGGGTTGCTGTGGCCCAAGTGTCACATCTCTCATTTGGCCTCACTGACTTCTACACAACGTTGATCCCACCTATCCAGATCCTTCTGCCAAACCACCACAGAATCCCTGAACATGGAAGGGACCCACTGAGTCCAACTCCTCGCTCCACCCAACCCCAATGTCTCAGAGCACTGTTCAAATGCTCCCTGAGCTCTGTCATTTTGGGGCCATGCCCACTGCCCACTGGGAAACCTGTTCCATGCCCACCGCCTTCTGGTGCAGAACCTTTCCTTAACCCCCACCTGGTCCTCTCCTGACACGGCTCCAAGCCTTCAGGAAAGATAAGTGATGGTTCAGTGCTCCCCCTGGAAGATGGGCACAACTCTGTGGAAGACAAGAGCAGCATTCCCAGAACCAACACTACAGAACCCAAACCATTTTGTGACTCCATGAAGGTCCCTTCCAACTCAACCCATCCTGTGATCCTATAAAGGTCCCTTTCAACTCAACACACGTTCTGTGATCCTATGAAGATCCTTTCCAATGCAAATCATTCTATGATTCCATGAAGGTCCCTTCCAACTCAAATCATTCCATCATTTCATGAACATCCCTTCCAATTCAGAACATTCTGTGATTCCATGAAGGTCCCTTCCAACCCAAACCATTCTGTAATCCTAT